AAAAGTACATATGAATTTAGAAAGTTCTATGCCGGCTGAACATGTTTTTTTTTTCTTTTTTGGTAAATTTTGGCTGAACATGCATGTTACTAAAAGTGGGTGATAGGATAACAGCCGACAACCCAAATTTACTTGTTTTTAGTGTTTTTCTTTTCAATTTAAAGTTATGGTCTTTCATGTGGTGGTTATTGCTCTCTTCGATAACACTTGTGAGTTGTGATGCAAATATATATTCTTCTTAAACCTCGTACTAAAATATAATAAGCAGAGTAATCAATTAGTTAGTAAAAAATTTGAAACTATGTTTTTTTTTTTTTTTGATCAGCCAAAAAAATTTTAATTTAATGAAACATAAGGATGCTTTTGCCGATATACAAAAAATGAAAACCACAACAGAGGAGGGCCAATCTCCTAAAAACCTACGAGAAATACAGCTTACAAATCACAAACAAAAAGCCACAGGTGCCCAAATACTACTTAAAGAAAACAAAATCAGCCCCGCCTAGCCATCAACTCGGGGGCACGCAAGCTTTATAGAACTGCTTCCTCAACCTTTTATGGTTTTTGACAGACATAGCACACTCCATTGGGCAAATTTGAAACTATGTTCTCAATATATAAAAGAGTTTAAACTTTTATTAATGTTTTATATAAATGGCATAATATCCTACAGAAACACCATTACTCTAGACAACAAACGATACAAAATCAGCATCTTTCTACATAGTTATAAAAAGGATAATCGAGTTTATTATAGATTTAATAAATAGTATCTTACATTATACTAAAAAGATAATACTGTTTTTTAGTTTGTACTATATTTAAAAATATTAATTTGAAATGAAATTTGACAAAAATATTAATTATTGATAATATTTTTGTTTTCATTCAATCCTAAATTAATATCTTTAAGTGTAAAGCAACCATGAAAAAAACATTTTTTACTCTAAAAAAGACACTTAACTAGAGAATACTTAAAAGCATGTATAAAAATATGAACAACCACTTTCTCAATTATTTTCGACTTCAAATTTGTACGGCGTAGCTTCCGGGTTGAAAGGATCAGCTTCGTTGTGAAGGCTGATCTTGCTACCAGCGTTTATGCCTCTCACAAAATCATTCCCATCTATAACATTGAGATAGCACTGACCGGACCGTTGGCTGCGGCGACACCTCCATATTCTATCACTCCGATTATCTCTGACCGAGAACTCCCCATTTGGAAGTTGTTGAAAACTTGATCTGGGAAGCTTAATTTCTTTTCTCTCAATCTCATTATTCTCGACGGTCTTGCTAAAGATCTTCACCATTGCTACTGCTGGGTGTTGGCTACGTACAAATGCTTTGATTTTGAGAACTTGATGAGTGCGGATTCTTTTGGATACCCTCTGTGTATTTATAACAGCGAGATGACATGGATAATTCTATTAAGCATTGTCTTCACATGCATGTGGGTTGGCACTGCCGAATAATGGGTGGATATCGATTGTCATTTTCAAAACATGGTTGCGGTGAGTTTCTTGCGAACCAATCGTTGCAAAAGTCTAGACGCGCGTATTGATGGAGTTCACTCTCAAATTCCAATAATATTTTAAAATTACGGAGTAGGTATACATAAAATGATCGATGTAATTAGAGATAGATTAATCAACCTGTCCTAACTGCTGGCATCCGCGGTAGCTTGCGCGGACAAGTTTTAATTGATTTCATAGACTTGAGTTGTTAATTACTATAATGTATATATATAGTTAGGATTTGATTATACATTCGTGACATTTAAACTCATGATTAATTATGACATTTTTAGCGTATTAATTTATGTTTGGAGCTCAAGTCCCTAAGGTCGTTGGTGGACCATTAGCTCACCGAAAAGTTAAATATTCTCTTTACAATTAAACTTTTCTTTTTTTTGAAAGGCACTTTGGCCGGTTCAACTTATCTTTTGCCAACTTATATACAATATTTAACTTTTATAAAAAAATATTATTAGAAGTTGATTCTTAAATCTAATGATTCAAGAGATATTATTAAAGAATTGTGAATTTTTACGTCGATTAGTAAAAGAAAAGTGGAGAAATATTTATAAAAGAAGGTAAATATTATTAATAAATTAACATACATAATAATTTATTTACAGTATTTAAATAATTTTATAAGTATTTATATTTTTTTGGTCAGTTAACTTGAAAAATACTTTTCTTTATTATTAATATATAATATATTACAAATATTATTTAAA